GATGAAGTTCGTGAGGACTTAATTAATTTATTTAAAGATGAACATTCACCTTCTTCTACATTACACGCATATGAAAATAAACTACACCTTAACATCACAGATGAACAAAGGTTGTTAGAAATTCTTGCTAATCATGTATATAATCCAGACTATGGCTATGTATACAATCTCTTTCAACAGTATAAGGATGAGGCAATTGGAAGTCGCAATGGAGAATCAATGTTCAAACACTTAGATATTGTTATTGAAAATTATAATAGGTCAGAATGTGGAAGAGCTATATTACAGGTAATAGACTTATTTTATGTTCAATTTTTAAAAAATTTTGAGTCTTTTTGTTGGTTTTTTTTGTATAGTTAAGTTAGGATTTAGGGTTAAAATCATTAATAAAAGAATATAGATGGATTTTGGTAGAGTCTATATTTTTAAATTGAGACTCCAATTTTACCATAATCCAATTTTATGATCATCCATGATGATTATTAATAATTATCTTTCCAATTTTATTTTTTTAAAAAATTTTTTATTTATTTATTTTTTATTTTTTATTTTATTTTATTTAATTTTTGTTTTTTTTGAAAACATTATTGTAGAAATATGATTCACGTATTGGAACATCCTTTATTTTTTGTGTTATTACGAACCTTATGCATCGTGTGCATGAAAAAATTTACCAAGCAGGAGAACTATGTTATATGGATGCATCAGCATCATTTGATCCCCTTAATACCTCAATAACACTTCTATATACAAGTTGCGCTGCAGGTGCACTTCCTCTTGGGCTTTTTCTTATCTCAGATGAGTTTGAAATAACAATTGAAAAGGCGTTAAATTTATTAAAAATGATTCTTCCGACGAATGCATTTTTTGGGTGTGGAATACAAGTTGGACCAATGGTCTTCTTAACGGATGACTCAAGTGTGGAGCGCAATGCTCTGAAAATTTGTTGGCCTAAAAGTATCCATCTTTTATGTACGTTCCATTTTTTACAAGCATTCTGGAGGTGGCTTCATGACGCTAGGCATAATATTAATAAAGAAGATCAGTTCCTAATCATAAATGAAATAAAAAAATCTTGTACACACCTTCGAGTTCAGAAATGTATATATATTATAATGAATTTCAACAAAAATTTTATAATTATTCATAATTACTAAATCATCTCAGTCTCTTATGGGAACGGTGGCAGTTTTGGGCCTTATTATTCCATTCAGGTTTACCCATACACGGTAATAACATAAACAATTATATTAAAAAGAATTTCGGTATAATGAAGGATATTATATTCATAAGAATATAGGCCTACAATCCTATACAAATATTCCAATTTATAAGCTCGAGCATGGAGAGGTTCTATGAAAGACGATTACTTGGAATTGCATATAAGTACCTAGGAGTCTTACACATTGCAAAGCGATTTTTATATCCCGGATGGGAAACCATAAATGGAAATATGATCCAAAAAACTAATGTGGAGAACGAATATTTAGTACTAAATACTAAGGGAAATAATGTCTATGTTGTAAATATTGAAATCGGAGCCTGCTCCTGCCCCGTTGGAATGTCTGGTGCTCCTTGTAAACACCAAGAGACTGTTTCAATAAAATTTCATGTTTTAATAGCTAATTTTATTTCGTCATTAAGCCCGGATGATCGGATGGTTTATGTCTACATAGCACTCGATATATATGATTGCAAACACTGGTCAAAAATAAATCTAAAATTTTTTGGTTTGAAATATGACGCTTATTTTTTTTTAGATTATGTTTCCGAAAACAAATTGTTCTATGCGTCGTTACATGCACAACCTACAAATAAACATATATGTACAGAAATGGAAATTTCAAGTGAGGATTTAAGTAATAACATATTGAATGAGAGTTTAATTACTATGCAAAGGTTTTTAATTAATTTATTTCGTTAATTATAAGAATCTCCAAGTACTAATCTTTCTTATATTAGCTCCAGAAATCCAGATGAAATAAATGAAACTACAGAAATTGATATTTCTGAATTTTCTTCGTTTTTAGAACTTATAAAGTCAGATTATCTGAATGCTAGTCAAACGTTACGAGCTGCATTGGATAAATTTAAAGATCGCTATAATGCAGCGAGATCAAAATCTGTCTCCCGGTTATCTTCTTTTCTTTATGATCTAAACCGAGATCTAAACCTGATGGTTCAAGTTAAAGGCGGTGCATGTATATGAGTTCAGGTCGAATCAATTAAACGATGCAAAAATAAAGAGAATTTGGATCCTCAAGCTATGCCCGTCCGTAAGAAGAGAAAAACAAATAAGAAAGAGCATAATTTAAGCAAAAATGTATTAAATAATCAGTTAAATTGAAGGATCGGTTAAATTGAGGGATTGTTAGTTTTTTTATATATAATTTGCGAATTCTATTTTGCTTTAGCTTTCATTTTTTTTTATTTAGTATAATTTAATTGAAATATCAATATAAACATTTAGTATTATAAATAAATATACTTTAATTGCTTTTAGCATTTCTGTTTGTATTGACACTGGAGTAAGGGTCAGACAGGAAATTGACATCGGTGGCTTAACCTGTCACAGATTTGGGACGTGCGTTATTTTATCTGAAACCCAATTCATCTTTAACAAACATTTTTACTTTATAATTCATCTCTACGAATATTTTTATTTACCATTGCAAACTTAGTTTATTTAACAAAAAGTTGTTACAAAAACTCGATTCCGAAAACTGTATCGGACGTCACTTTGAATACAACGATGTTGTATTCACGAACCAAGCCCAAAATCAGTTACGGTTTAAACTATACTTGCCGGCCAAATCCCTAACTATTATAGTTTGGGCTTGTCCGTGCCCAAATCCCAAACCCAAGCCCAAACTAATACCTCAAAACTTTATTAATAATCTTCATTCAAACAATTATATATATTTAAAATTATTTTGCTGATTTAAATTTTTATAAAAGCAATTTGTTTTTTTGTCTGGGTTTTGTCAGCAAGTACAGTTTAAACTCAATTAATTTTATAGTCCGATGGTTCTGATTTGCTTATTTTGACTAATAATCAATAACGATATTTTTTTAATTAAGGCCAGACCAATTTAATTCTTTGTTTAACAACCACCTTTCCATTATTTTTTAAAATTTATATGAACCTAATATACATTAATAGTAATCAATAGTATTTGCCCCCTCAATTTTTTAAATTTTATATAGCTAACTTATATAAAATCAACCAATAAAATTGCAGTATTAATATTTTTTTTTTCAATGCCCCACTCCTTTCTTACAGTTATTTTGTGTTATGTTAAACAAAGAATCAAGTTGGTTTGACCTAAGCAATAAAAACCAATTGTTTTTTATACCTTACAATGAATTTTGTACTAAGTTGACAAATTTGATGTCCAATTGGTTTTGGACATACAGTCAACTCTCCCAAATCCGAACCCTAAATAAACTCTGTAAAAACTAAACACAAAGCTTTAGAACATTTGTAAATTAACTCTTTGAAAACAGAATTTTTTGATATTTTTGCATATAAGAACGGACCATTCGGAATAGAGAGAGTTGACTGTAAGTCCAATTGACTTTGAAACAATTAGACATAGTAGCCTTGTCAACACTGATTCTTTATACTGCAAATTGTACAGAAAATACAAAGATCGGAAACTGCTTCTTTACCTGATTTTTTAAAAAACGTTATTGATGTCAATAACATATATATTTCTTAAAAATCCGTTGCTCTTTTTCCAATACTAGGGAATATGGACAACACTTTTTTTTAATACAATAATATAATCAAGGTCCAACACAATTATAAACGCCAATTTCTTTATGAATCTCAACCAACGAGGCCAAAATAGATTTGAGTATGAGCGAATATGATTCAAATGTCAGTGATGGAACTCTCACAAATAATTACACTAGTGAATGTATTTTGATATAAGGAACTTAAATAATTGCCCATGAAAAACTAATTTCAAAAAATTAATTGTCAACTAATTATTTATTATGAGAAGTAATTTAGACAATCATGTATAGAAAGGCATGGAATGGGCGTAAACAGAATACTTTTTTTTAATAATTTTGACGTCTTTTCATGTTGCATACATATTGTGATAGATAATTTTCATGTCATTAAGATGTCATACACCTTCCATCTTAGTATCGTTATAGCCATGTTAATCTTAGGGCATTCTTGCAATTCCTGAATTCTTGAATGTGTGCCAGGTTTGTGGCGCAGATTTCCTGAACTACGAATCAGATTTCACAGGAGTAACATAACACGATCAAGAAAATTCAAACCAAACATCCGTTTTGTTCAAAAACCGCTTCTCAAAAATCAGCATATGAAAACACCTTTAATGCTCTAATAAAAAGTTTTCGTTGGGCAATTTTACTATGTAATCTGGTTCCCCTGGTTCCAACACTGACCATAACTATAACATAAACGAACTTTTGCTGCGCCATAAACCTGGCACACATTCAAGAATTGCAGCATTCTTATGTATTCTTTGTGGCTTAGCTCATGTAAATTTCCCCTAGTCGCGTGTACGCGGTGAGGAAAGCATATGAAGTCAGAATTAGTAGCGAGACGCTATAATCTTAGTAAGAAAATTAGAGTGTATTTAAAGGGTTGCTCTCGTTCTTAGTTCATCATCGAATGTACGCTCTTTGCAGTATACATTCTTTTATATAACAAATGCCTACTAATCATATAAAATCCGAGTTCACTAATTCATCATCAGGTTCCTGCATCTCTCTTACGTCAACCATCGGAGTTAAACTCAGCATGATTGTCGGAAGCTCTCCCATTCGATGGTGACAATATATATATAGCGAGAATTATTTGCTTTTATTTACAAAAAAATATATATATCGGGAACCCAAAAAAGTTTTTGGAAAGGGTCTGCATATGAAAATCTATAACGATAAAAAGATTAACCTATAGACAAATATTGTATCACAAATTTTTATATAAATAGCCATTTATTATTATTGACTTAATTATGTGGCTTTCTCGTCATTGTTTTTTATCCTCTTTCAAGCCTTATCGTTATCGATCAATGAGTACTCTCCGAGTTATTTCGACTCAAGAAGCGCCTGCTGCGATTGGTCCATATTGTGAGTTCGTCTCAACATCTGAAAGGCTTGTGTCTATTTATTGTTATATCGACCATAAAAAAAAAAATTTCTTTTTAATTGGTGTAAACAGCTCAAGCCATAGTTGCAAATGGGTTTGTGTTCGCATCCGGTCAAATCCCCATTGTACCTAAAACAGGCCAAATTGTCAGCGATGATGTTAAAGAACAGACGGTACACAGAAAAATATTTATTTGCGAGTACATAACAGATTCACAGATCCATTTCTTTACACATGTGATCTTAATTTTTTATTGCAGCGACAAGTGATCCAAAATCTTTCAAATGTATTGAAAGAAGCTAATTCTTCGCTTTCTCAAGTTGTTAAAACTACCGTATTTATTAAAGACATGAATGATTTTGGTCCTATTAACGAAGTTTATGCTGAAGTAAATGATCTAATTTACGTTCATGTTATATATTTATATAATTTATGAACCTTTAATTTACGTGCTTATTTTACGATTAGTGCTTTGGGACTCATAAACCGGCTCGTGCAACTGTAGAAGTTGCTAGATTACCAAAAGACGTCAAAGTTGAAATTGATGGTATTGCTGTTGTAAACACATGATGACACGATAGTTTGTTCGGTTTTTTTTAAAGTAGTACGGAACAATTCTATCCTGTAAACATTGTAAACTAATAAAAATGAATGCAAAAAGTTATAACTCGGCATGAGAAATTTAAACAGTTTTAATTAGTCGCAATAGGATTCAAAAAATTGACTATGATTAATTGTTGGAAACGATGATATAACGTCTTTAGAGTTCTGTTCTGTGCATTTTATTTAGACTGTCAAATTTAAAAATTCATATCGATATCGATTTAAACTATATTAGCATTAGTTTTAGAAGATTTCAATCAATTGTGAACCACTGAGAAACTGCCAAAAAATTAACGAGGTCAAACATTTGTTTTATATTTTGTCCGACCAATCGTACTCCATCAAGAAATCTAATCGGAACAACTAATCAGATTTGTACACACATACGTGTGCATAAAAATCGTTAATTTACTTGCATTAGTCTTCGTGTTTCCTCTCGTTCTCAGTTATTCGCTCAGGAAATGGAATTCTTTAGCAGAGGATATAAAGGACTATTAGGAGAAAAAGGGCAACCTCAGTCCGTTGAGATTACAATTTCGAAATTATGTGATCGTGCAAACAATTCTACTTTACTAGAAGACAGACGTGCTGCAATTTTGGGTTTAAAAGGTCTTTCTCGAGAATATCGACTTGTAAGTTTGAATATTATGAATTTTATAGTGTAATTAATTATAATTAATGCTTTTTCTAATCGACACTGCGATTCTAATAGGAAGTGGGTGAAAAAGGCCTCGGCGCTCTTTTACATGTCTTAAACGAGGATCGAGCAGATATAGACACGACAAAGGCGATTCTCGAAGTTTTAAATATTTTGTGCACTCCGGATGCGCAGCAGGTACATATATATATATATATATTTTTTTTTTTTTTAAAAAAAAAAAACCGCTAATTATTTAAAATTAGGATCCTGTTGCTGATCTGGGTGTTAAATTCACTGATGAAATTGTACATGTAAGTCGCTATTCTTTATGGACAATAATTTTTGACATAAATTAAGATTCTTTTTTTAATGTTCATAGGATTCTGCTAATATAAATTTACTCTTGGATGTTTTGCAAGAATATGATTTTTATGTTCGCTTTCACAATATTCAGTTATTGGGAACTTTATTGTCTATTAGACCAGATCGTGTGCAAGACTGCATATTAACTGCACCAATGGGTATTTCACGCTTGATGGATTTATTAGATGATCGAAGAGAAATTATTAGAAATGGTAATTAATATATATGTTTTTTTTTTGTCTTAATGATTTACAATTATTAAATAATTATGAAATAAACAATTAAAATTTTTAAATTTTAGAAAGTTTGCTTTTACTCATTGCCCTTACTGAAAATAATGCCGATATTCAAAAAATTGTCGCATTCGAGAACGCATTTGAGAGACTTTTAGAAATCATTGCAGAAGAAGATGGCTTAAGTGGCGGAATTATTGTTCAAGATTGCATGCAATTAATACACAACTTGTTAAGGTATAATGTTTCAAATCAGGTATGTTGTGCTCTTTTTATTTTAATGACCTTTATAGACGGTTACTTGATTTTTTATCTTAATTTTACATAGAATTTTTTCCGTGAAACAAGTTGCATACAACGTATACCTTCATTGTTAGGCTGCTCCCAAGACTATAAACTCAAAAATTATGAAGTTGAGTTTTTGGTTCAAGAATGGCAGGAACAAAAAGTTACCAATACTATTGTTCTATTAGAATTGATTCGAATATTAGTAGTACCTAATAATATTAATACACTAACTAATCAGGTAATTATTGAAATATTATTTTATAATATTGTTTTTATTTACTGATTACAAATATTCACTAATTTTTAGAATGTTATGGCTCAATGTGGGGTATTGAAAACGGTAGTTGAAATGGCTTTATCTTCGAATGCTCCTTCGTCAGTAAAAACCCATGTACGTTATCATTATTTTCTATATTTCTTTTCATTTAAATCTTAAGCCAGAGCCATATTATTAGGCTCATTAATCAGTCCAATAACCAATATTCAATAGTCTCTATACGCTTTGGCAGATCTTATACGTGGAAATAGTCCCAGTCAAGAATTTTTGGCACGGACAGTTGTTTCAGTTCCCTATTCACCTCAACGTTCGAATTCCACAGAGGATACAACGCCTGACTCACATTCAAAAAGTAATCGACCTTCACATGAGCAAATTTCAACTCTTCCCCCACGTCCTACAGTCATGGCAATTATTGCCGTTGCTGTTGGGGCTGAACATATAGAAAGTTATACCACTCGAGCTGCAGCTACATATGCTTTTGAGGTAACAGTTATTTAAAATGGGGTTTTTTTTTTTGGTTATTTATTAGCGATATTCACAAATATATTCCATTCTAAATACAGTGTTACACATATAATAATCCTAATGCACAAGTTGCATTGGCATCTACACTGACTCCTCCCCCTGATGATAATCCTAATTCAAATATGAATACAGGTTGAAATATACATAAAATATATAAACTTAGAATTTGTCGAAAGTTATAAAAAAATACAGGTCATTAATTCAACCTTCATGCTTTTAAATTATTCGATTTATAGCTAAACCTCAATCAGCTGGTTCATTATTACTCTCAGCTCTTTTGGAATGGGAAGACTCGGAGGCAGATCCATATGTAGTGTGGTTCTCATCCGTTATTTTTTCACATATTCTTATGAATAACGAAAAGCCTAAAGAATTAGCTCGTGGAATTATGATTGGAGAAGATAATGTAGATGGTCATATTCCTTTGTTGCACTCTATTGTAGGAAATTTAATATTGGCAACAAGGCAAAATGCGGACGTAAGGGTCCTGATCGGATACCTATGCGTTCTTTGCATTTGGTTGTGGGATAGCCCACAGAGTGTCAAAGAGTTTCTATCGAAAGATGCTCATTTACAAATTGTATCTTTTTTGCTTTTACAGTTCTGACAATATTTAATGACAATATTTCTTGGTTAATCGAAAATTCCTTAATCCATCATTTATAATATTAGCTAATTGGGCCTATAACCCAATCTTCTGGTGTGGATTCAAGAGTACAAGGCTTATGTGCATTTTTGCTAGGTACTTGCTATGAGTTTAACCATTCACTAGATTCACCAGTTACAAGGTTGGAACATTGTACAAAACTTTACACGTTATTTATTGACGTATATTTGAAACTAATTATCAATTTTATAAATCTTTAGAACAACACTTCAACCAATCTTGCTCAATCGTATTGGAGCTGATCAATTTGTGAATCGTATTACACGGCTAAGAGAATCACCTCATTTTAAACATGTTCCTCAATATATACAGGTAAAATTCAATCCATTGTCTTTAAATTAGGATCACTAAAATCTTAATTTTAAATATATATTCTATCATCATAGGTTTCTCCAGAAGAAGAAGCTAGAGGGTTACCAGAATTATATTTTGAATATGCATTTGTCGAATTCTTCAAAAATAACTATGGTACGAAATAGGTTGCATTTATTAATTTATTCATTAAAGTATTTAAATGGACTCTATATATGAAAATACATATTTTTTTCAGAAAAAATTCAAAGATCTATTATAACTGATCCTAAATTAACGTCTGGAGGTGCGTATAGATTTAACGGTCTATGTTTGAGATTTATTATTATTGGATATATAATAAATTACATGTCTATTTGTTAAATAGGAAGTGATTTTCAAGGCGATCATGATTCTTCAATGATTTCATCTTTTAAATCTGTTATACAGACTCAAGAGCAAGAAATTATTGAGTTAAAAGAAACAATAAGACAACTTGCAGAACAGTTGGAAAATCAGGTATTTGCAATATTTACATTCAAGGATATCTATATGTAAAGTTATTAATAAATATTTTTATGTTACAGAAATCATCATCAGAACAACAAGTATCTTTATTGCAAGAAGAAATACAATCGCTGCAACAAACTATAGAAACCCAAAAATCTGGACGCGCAAAATTAGAAAAAGAACAAGAAGATTTGTTTGTCTGTCTTGCAGATCAAGATGCAAATATCAGAAAGTATAGAGAGAGATTGATTGAACTTGGTGCTGAAGTTTCGGATGTTGAAGAGGACGAAGGGGATGATGATGACGATGATGAGTAACGTTATATATAGTGTCTTTTAGCATTTATTCCAGGAAGCTGTATCATACATAATAACTTTATTTGGATAGTTGGTTTTGGTCATTATTTTAATATAAAGTATATTATTTATTTAGAAAATATCATTATTACAACACATTTAGAATATTTTCTACGAAATATGTTCGTAAATAGTAAGATTTATAAGACTATATTCTTTTACTAAACCAATTTTCTAATTTGTTTGTACACAACTTAAATTTAATAAAAACACTTAATGCTTATAAACAAATACTCCAAGTTCTTCAAAATATTATAAAGTAAATAACAAAATAATGGACTGATATTTTTACACTTATAAGCATATTTTTAAGCCAATCATGTCTCATGAAGTTCCTATTTACGAAATTTATGGCTTTAATTATAAAATTATATAGTATAGGTACATGTAACACTAGAACATGTACCTATATGATTAAATGTAATAGTAAAAATATAAATACATCTTACTTTTCTATAATTATATCACAAAATAATTTCTATGTGATAAAATAGAAATAAAATCAATAAAAAATAATTATGCAAATTAATAAAATATAAGAATTTGATAAAACTTAGTTAGGGTGTGGGTCCCATAGCTTAACGGTTAAGCTCCCATACCCTCCACAGTCAAGGTCAACGGTTCAAGTCTGGCTGGAGGCAAAATTGAAAGATTTTAGTTTCTGTAACCTAATAAGAAGCCTGTAATTGAATACGAAGCCCTGTGGTTAAGTCCAAGTGCAGTACAATGATGGAAATAGGAATTCCCGGAAGGA